TAATAATGATGATGCTTTTGGTGATGATGACGGTGATTCTTCTCCTTTGCCGGTAAGAATAGCTGTAAACAATAGAAAACAAGGAAAATCGAGAGTAGTAGTAGCTTAGCGGTTACTTGATCCTTTTTGATTCTGCTGCTTATTCTGTTCGATGAATTATTCGATCGGAAAGGAGACGAGAATAAGAAAGAAAGAAAAAAATTCTGAGAAACGTACGCGCACGATTGAATCTATTTTTAGAAGAAATAAATCGGATATTATATTTATTTACAGATTATTTCGAAAGAAATATGAATTTCTTTCGATATAATATAGACAATGTGTTTTGTGTGATACGGTTTGTTCTGTTGTGAACAACATAGAATTATTCGTCATCATGCAAATATACGAATAAAATAAAGAGAGAAAAAGAAGAATCAATAAGAATTATTTATATATTAATTAATAATTTTTGTCAACGTTCTTGTTCTATTATTTACCACGTATTGATATTGCCGTGATTGAGAACGATGAAGAAAAGAAGTTGATTTAAAAATCTCTCAGTCTGTCTATACTTTCAGACAACAATGAGAATAGAAGCAATTTAACAAGAAAATAGAGAAAAAAGAAAGATTTTGAAGAGAAACATGCATAGAACAACAGCTAATTTTCAAACCGTATCATACATACATGTCCTTTATAGAATATATTCATTCAAATGTTTAGATATATGTATGCGAAAAAAATCAGTGAGGAAAGATAAAATCATGCGTTTAATTTTCTCTGTTAGGAATCAAAAAAAGGCAAATCTTTTTTTTTCTATATCTACATGCGAATTTTTTGTTTAAATATCATATAATTTTCATTCTCAAAATTCATGCTGTTTTTGGTCATTTATTTGCTTACATGATTGTACTCTCGACTAATATTGAGCTAGAAAAATATGATGTCAATTAAATTTTATTGTTTTTTTTTTTTATATAAATATTAATTCTTAAATTTCTAAGATTGAACATGCATATTTTATTAACTACAAATACTAATTAACTTAGCAGCAGCAGTATCAGTATTTTTTTAAAAAAAATCTATTCTATTTGTATTTGCTTACCTTCTTTATTGGAAGTAGTTGATGGTTGTTCAAGACTACTGATACTGCTTTCAAGATTGTCTAAATAGAAAAATAAATATGTTAGAATTAATTATATTTTTCTAAAAAGAAAATTCGTTTTATATCATGCGCATACATTTCATTGTTCTTTTTTTTTAAACATGCGTATACGCAAACTGTTGCTGATAAAAATTATAAATATTTATGTTTGTGTAGAATAAAAAAAACATTGATGCTATTTTGTTATTATTATATTTATCAAGAGGATGTAATAATAAAATGAATATATGAATGTTCATGCCGATCAGCAAAAACAAGACGGAAGGGGGGCAGGTTAAGACATGCGACCAAAACAAATGAATATATATAATGTCCGTGCTTGTTCATTTTCATATGATGTGACAATGATATGATTCTACCTCTTGATGAATCAAATGGGTTTCTTGATGTTAATACTGGTGTTTCCACATCATATGATTCAACAAGATCTTCATCACTTATATCAGAATTTATACGTCTTGTTGATGTTGTTGAATTACTTGTATCATCACGCATTAATGTACTTTCGGCAGTTACATATGTTCCCGTTGATGTATCTTGTGAATTATCTGCACTTTCATAGATAGTTGACATTGATGATGCATTTGTTGCTGATAGTGGTGGTTGAGCTGTTTCTGGTGATGTTAAAGGTTGTGCTGGTACAGAAGGAAATGGATGCGGTGTATCATCATTTAAGCTTCCGTATGAGCCATGCAAATTATCATAATCAGATAGAAGCGAACGTGCTGGTGTTGCACTACCTGTATTTGGTAATTGTGGTATCGGATTATCATATGGATTTGTATCGTTTGAATCGACACTACTTTCTTTACTGCTATTTTGCAGAAATTTCGAACGATCTGAAGCTATACTACTATTAGGCATTAATGTTGAAGTACTATTTAACTGTTCATCATCGTCCGAACTAATATTTGTTGTTGTTGATGTAACTTCGGGTTGTGGTGGACTTATAACAGTAACGGATGTTGTTATTTTTGGTGTTGTTTTTATTGTAACAATATCAACTAGCGGTGATGAGTTTTTTCTTGTATTTAATTCTGAATCAGGTGTAACGAACATAAGTGGACGATATGTTGAATGAACGGATGGTACGTGTGATGTTACGATAGTTTGTGGTTGTGTTGAAACTTTATCGAATGAATCCTGTTTTTTGATACTTATATTTGTTAGAATCTTTTGATTTTCTTCGAATTGTCTTTCAACTTGTTGAAAAATATTATCTGTTAAATGCGCTGCTAATTGTTTTATTTCAAGTGGTGCTGAATTTTGTTCAGATACGATTTCATTTATAGAAGAAGAAGAAGGAGGAGGAGGAATAGTAGAAGATGATGAAGATGATATTATTGTTAATGGTTCATCAAGTGCTTTAGTTATTATCGGTGAATGTGTATTTAAAGTTATTCTTATTGGTTCAACTTTAAATGTTTCAACTGTTGAAATTTGATTATCCGATTCATTTGTACATGATGGTTGTTGAACATAGATTGGTGGCGGTGGTGTTTGTCGAAGTATATTCATATCATTATCATTTTCGGATATGATACCAAATGTATCAACAAGATTTAAAACTTTTTTTACTACATCATCAGTTTGTTGTATTAGTGTATGATCAGTATTCGTACTGTGATGATGATGATGGTGATGTTGATGTTGATGGGTATATAAAGAAAAATGTCTTGGTGGTTTGGCAGGAGGTGAACTTATTTCTGTTGATGATGATGAACCCGATTCATCACTATGACGTGGTGGTTTAGCTGGTGGTGGTGTTAATGTCGTAGGAGTTAGTGATTCAATTGAATCAACAGATGTTTCAGTTAATAAATTATCGGAATTCTCATTAACAAAAGACGGACGATTAGATATTGATGTATGTAAAATTTGTTGATCATTGCTATTTATATCAACAGATTTTTTTTTTGTCATCATAGATTTTTTTAATGGTTTAACAACCGCATGTTTTAATGCATGTGCTAATGCACGTGCTTGATCAGGTATTATTTTTGATTTACTTAAACGTTCACCTACAGGTGTAGGTGCTGATTGAGATGTAACAGCACGTGTAGGTGCTGGAAAAAATGTTTTGTTTAAATTAACAAAAGCAATTAAATAAATAAATTAAACGAGAAAATGTTTTACTTACGAATATCATCAAGTATCTGAGCTGTTTGTTCAGCTAATTGTTCAGTTACTGTACTTGTTATTATTGGTTCTTCATGTTGTTGTTGTTGTTGCTGTTGTTGTTGTTTTTGAAGTAAATCTTCATCTAATTTACTGAAATCAAGTTTAACTGGTGATACAAATGTTTGTTGAACAATTGTATCCATAACGGGTGGTACTGGTCTTGATGATATTTCATGATCTGATATTCCTGGTGTTGTTTCTTTAACAATATGAACAATATTAAATTCATCTTGTTTTGCTGGTTTTTTCTTTGGATATTCTTTACAAAAAAAACAATACATAGAAAAATATCTTTATCGATAAAATCATTTATGTTATAATGATTTCTTATTGATTATTCATTAATTCAAAATCCGACTAGAATATCTCATTCGTCGTCTTTTTTCATTATTCTCTTATAATTGGATGTAGTTTGTTTTTCATTATTATATTATTTCTCATGAGACATACTGCTGAGTAGACTAATACTATCCGCATATAAATATTGATTTAACAAAATTAACTAGATAATAATAATCTTACCCGATGGTATTGGTGTTATTCGTCCTTCACCAATATCTGTACTTCGTCGTTTTAATGATGAATCATCATGATCTCCTACGAAAAAACAAAAAATAAAATTTTTATATTTTTATCTCAAAATTAATTAACAAATAATCACAACAAAATGTTTCATGCTTAATGATTAAAAATAAAAAAACACACATCAAACAAAAATGAACCTTTATCACGTGTTAAACGATTTAATTTATCTCTTAAACTTTCAAGATGCATCATTTCAAATGGATGAGAATAACAACTTAATGGTGTTATTGAACCTGATTTATTATATGGTTGAAAGGAAGAATAATAACCACCATAACGTGATGCTGGTGTTGGTGCTTTACTTGAATCAACAAAATGTAAAGGACCATCACGTTCACCTTTAAAAAAATATACACATATATACAAAACAATAACAACAACGATAAGGACTTTCTAAGACGAGACAATAACAACAATAGGACAATATCGATTTATATAAACCTAGTCTTTTCTCTGGAATTCGTGTATTTATTATCGTATCTGCACTTGATGTTGATGATGATGAAGGAATAAAATCTTTCGATATAACTCTTTTAATCATTTTCATTGGTTCTAATTGTTTAAACTGTGGAATTTGATTTTGTTGCGAAGATATTTTATCTGTCATATTTTCTCCTAATTCATCTTCAGCTGTTTCTTCGAATGTTATAGTTTTTATTATTGTTCGCGAATGATTTCCATCATCAATTATAAGATCTTTAAAAAATTTTTTATATCGAAATTATTTATCTTATTCAGAGACTCTATCGTTTATTTTTATTTAACTTACTAGATCTTCCATAACGACGACGTTCAAATTCTTCATCACTTTCAAAACCTTCATCTAACTACAAAAAAACAAATTCGAAGGATTAATTTTCTAGAAAAAAATTTATATATATATTTAAAAATAACATACACGACGAGCACCAGTTGTTGATCCTTCAACACTTCCACCACGACTTGTTAAACGTGCTTTAGCTACTTCTTTTTCTGCAGCATCAGTGACCCATTCAATGTTAAATACACAATTTTGAACAATATTATCTTTTCCAATTTTACGTAAAGCTTGTTGAAGACAATTACCTATTGAGAAAAAAACAACAAATGTCGTGATCAATCATACAATCTACATTTAATTACCTGTAGCTTCAGTTCCTCGAGATTTAAGCCAATAACGTAACATATGTAAAGCAGCATTTTGACCATATTCATCCATTAATTTCGTAACTTCTTCTTCAGTTAATTCAAGTTCAGCTGCAAGTGCTGGCCACTCAGTACCAAGTAATTTCGATATATCAGTTAAACGAATTTCACCTTTTCGATACATATCATCTGATCTCCAACCTAAAAAGAATTACATTAATCTACGAGATTTCTTTTATTGCTAATTCTTACTTTCTGAACGAGGTTCACGTTCTACTGAATGAAGAGTACGAAGACGTTCTTCATTCTAAAATGCGATTCAAATGAAATAAAGAAAAAACTTACTCATAAAAACAAAAGAACTTACGCCTATTGCATCCTATTTAAATAAAAAAGAAAATTATAGAGAAAAAGAAAACGATTATTATTTTTTCCTTACTTTATCATAAGGTGGTAAAACAATATTTAGATTACAAATTGCTTGCAATGTTTGAGGATCAACGATATTATTCGATGGTAAATGTCCATTTGTCATTGTTAATGATGATGTTCTTTGTAATGATATTAATTTACCATTATCTTTCGAAAATATTAAACGTCCTGATGGTTCTTGTTGTTGATCACGTATACGAATAACGGATGGTAAACGATTTTCTCTAAATGCTCGAAATGCAAATGTTAATTGTTCATTCGATTTTGTAATTGTTTGTAAATTATTTGATTGTAAATCCAAATAAATTGTATTTCCATTAACAACTTCAACTTCTTTTGATTTAGCTATTTCAATGAAATGTTCTTGCATTTCAAGTGTCTTATTTTCTTTATCATCAGTTATACAAAATATACGAGCAAGTGATTCATTTGGATCATTTCGTTTAGCAAATACAACAAAACGTGACATATAAGGTACTGATGTTACTTCACGATAAATATCATGAGCTAATTTAATAACATCCGGAACACCTTGAGCATCAATTAACCAGAATCTTTAAAAGACAAAAAGAAATATATATATGTAATTAGATATCTGAATAAAAACAAAAAGGTCTATAGTTCGAATCTATCCTCAGTGATTTTAAGCGGCAAGGTTAAAGATCTATATATATAAACAATATTTCTTCTTTGATATTTATCTTTCTGATATCATGTTAAGTAATCAATACCTAGCAGAAACAGTCGTTGTAAATGTAGCACAGTCATTTGAAAATGTCAATGGTGTGTGTCCTGTAATATCATCAAATTGCGCAGCATGTGTACCACCAGTGATACTACATAATAATCTTAATGTTTGAGAATCACTAGTATAAGCATTTCCATGTTGTTGTTGTGAATCTTTTGATTGACCTTGTTTTGTTGGTTTTACTGGTAATGGAATTGTTAATGTAATTGGTTTATGAAATTTTCTTCGACGTGGTTCAACAGTAACAACAGGACTGACATTCACACGTGTACCATATGAACGTTGAATAATTTGAGATGATATTGGTAAAACATGAAGTGATACTCGTATACGTTTTTGTAAAGCTTTTTCGGGTATATGAGCTTGACATGTTGGAATTATTGTTGATGTTAATGAACCACCTTGTTCATCAATAAAATTTGCTTCTTGACGTAAACGTGTTATTAATGCAAAGAAACGTGGAAAATCATTTGTTATTATACGTGTTATTCGACGTGATGTAAGTTCTTCAATAGTTTCAAGACCTAAAAATGGAAATATGTTTTTTTTATAAAATTTCGGTATTTGATAAAAATAATTACCTTCAGTTTCAACAAGATCACCGAGTATTTCTCGTACAGCTTCATCTGTTGTTGGACCTGTATGTTCAGTCCATTTTTCACCATTATCACTTCGTAAAACGATTATTTCACGTTCACGATTTCGTAGTGAAGCAAAATGAGGAATTTCAAGAATAACAGGCCTAAAAAATATGTATTACATTAATTAACAGCCATGCTAACTTTAGAAAATCTATATAACAATCAAAACAAATCCATCAATTTTAACCCTGTAGGACAAAAATCATTAGGACTATTTAAAAGGATTTTCTTGTATAGAAGAGTATGAATTTATCTCTGTGTCTTTAGCTGTGATTTATCATCATTAATATCTTACCCAAGAAATTTGCAGTTAACTGGTCCAACTTCTAAAACTCGTGCTGCTAATGCTTCACCTTCATTTAATGGTGGTGGTACCGTTAATTTATCACGTTTAACAAAACGACATGTAATTCTTGTTGGCATACTAGCACGTTTAGGTGGTATAATAACTCGTACACCTGAATGTCGACATCCACGCATTGCACCACCACGAGCATCAACCAAGAAGCTTACCAAAAATCTATACAGAAAAATTAACATATAATATTTTATGAAAACAAAAAGCTAAATAAAGAACACGGGCTAGACATAAGTAGTTAATGAATCTAAGAAGATTAGTAATTTGCTTAGAGAGAAACGTAAGCTTATGTGAACACTTACGATCGACAATGAAAACGTTCCCTAGAAATACATAATAAATACAATTCACACACATGCTAACTAATGCATAACCAACGGAAAAAAATTCAATTGATTTACTACATACCCTCCATGACGTGGTCGAGTTATGGCTTCATTATCGGGAATCAATGATTGTTGTATTTTAATTGGTGTTTGTTGTTCATGTAAATTATCTCGACTTTCATTCCAATTATCTTTTGTTGCTAATATTGGATATTCCGATTCTTCCTAGAAAAAACGAAGTTTGTTTTTTTCATTAAAATCGAAATAAATCATTACTTTAATAAATGATGTTTGATTAAGTTTATTAGTTTCATCTGTTTCATTCATTAATACACCTTCACGTAAATATTGCATATGAACATTTGAACTACCATCACCAAGCATATCTAAATAATAATAATAATATAAGAAAATAAATTCGAGAAAAAAATTTATAGGAAATATTTAGCAGAATTCATGCGCAATGTATCTGTAGGTAGGAGACAAATCAAAAAGAAGGGGAGGAGAGGTAAAAAGAATTTGATTTCGTTTCATTCTTTGACAGGCACAAATCCGCACGGCAGACATTCGACTACCTTTAGTCGTTTTTTCTTGATTTTTTAAATTGTTAATAGCTCTCGCCATTTCAAAATATCCAAGTTCAGGATAAATTATATCATTATCAAGTTCTTTTTTATCATCTAGATAAGTTGATGATATCGATATTTTATTTCATTTTTTATTATCTTTTATATCAATCTAAGAATTAAAAATCTATTTACCTGTTTCATCATCTGAATCAGTTAATGGATGTTCTTCATGAGATACTTCGGGTGCTTGAATCTAATTATATAAATAAATAAGAATTTTATGAATTTTAATTATTAAATAATTTTACTTTATAACGTTCTTCGCTTAATGATTCTTGTTTACTTGAAACAGTTGTTTCCGTAACAACTTTAAGTTCTTCAACAACAGATATATAACCAAGACGTTGTGCAATTGATAGAGCAGTCATTCCATGCTAGAAAAAATGATTTCTTTTGTTTAAACAAGAAAAGAAAACTCGGATAGAAAATTTATTACTTTATTTGTTTTATTTGGTGAAGCACCATGTTCAAGTAGTAATTTAACTATCATAACATGTCCTTGTTGAGCAGCTGAATGAAGTGGTGTGAACATAAGCTATAAGAAAAGAAAAGTGATTATTTTATATATGTAGAAAAAACATATTGAATTTACATTTGTTTCCATATCAACATTGGCACCGAGTTGGATTAAATATCGAACCATATTTATTTGACCAAAATGACAAGCAACATGTAAACTTGTATAACCGCTCTAGAAATAACAAAATACAAAGTTTTCATCTGAAAATTTTGATTGCTCTGGACTGGTGATGTTCAAGAGAAAAAAAGGCACATAGTTACAAGGTACAATTTGTCGATAAACTTGAAACTCGTTATAGATCAATCTATTTTTTTTTGTTATTACATTGCTTTTAATTTTAGAAATGTTAAAAACCTTGAGAAACCACAAGACAAATTTGATTGCATAAAAATAGATTTTTAATTAAAAATATTTGTTTCTGACATTTAAATGTATATGAAATAAATTGCACTCATTCAATCTATGTATTGAGATATGTCATCTTTAGTAAACGACCTATGGACATATTTATTATTTATCATGACACATTCCTACATTAGTAATGTTATATCCCTTGTAATCCAGGGGTATATTCGAAACGATGTTTTCTATTTTATCCATAGTTTAATAATTAACATGCATTATCAAGGGTATTCATAATAATACGAAAATAGTGCTTTTGTTTATGTTATAATATATATATATGACAAAAGGCTCAAAAGAAACTATACCCAAATGTGATTAGATCAAAATTATCTTGGGAAAATGGCGAAAAAAAAAGTTTTCTTTTGAATTTTATAATACAAAAATTTTCTTCTTACAAGTGTTTGAGCATTGATATTAGCATTTTTATTAACTAATGCTTCAGCACATTTAACTCGATCTTCTTGTGCACATAAATGTAAAGGTGTTAAATGACATTTTGATTCAATATTCGGATTAGCATGATTAGCTAAAAGTAAAATAGTCATATCAACATGACCATCTTGACAACTTAAATGTAATGGTGTAAAACCACCAGTTGATTGTGCATTGGTATTTGCATTATATTCTAATAACGTTTCAGCAATATCAAGCGCATTCTTCTTTGCAGCTATATGTAATGGAGTATAACCATTACGTGCTGTTACATGTGGACTAGCAGCATGTTGTAATAAAAGTAAAGCAATATTTCCATGATTATAATGAACAGCACAATGTAATGGTGTTAATTCATTCTAGATAAATAATTATGAAAGAAAAACAAAATATATATCGGCCTTAGATTCTTACTTTGCCTTGTATATCTGATACAGCTCCTTTTTGTAACAGAAGATTAGCAACTTTAATATTACCATATTTACTACAGATATGTAATGCAGAAAAATTACGCTAAAAAAAATAAAGTTTTCGTTAAAGAACAAAATTTTGTTTTTTTTTCGTTTATACTTTAGTAAATAAATTTAAATTAGCTCCATGTTCAATTAATAGATTTGCTATTTCATCATGTCCTTCTTTCGCTGCTATATGTAAACTTGAATATCCATCTTTTGTTGTACTATCAACATGTGTGTTAGCTCGTAATAATAATTTAACAATTTCAATATTTCCCAAACGTGTTGCTAAATGTAAACATGTTTGTGCTTCTTTTGCTTTTGTATCAACTAATGCTCCATAACGAAGTAATGTTTGAACAACTTCAATTTGATTATTACGTGTTGCTAAATGTAATGGTGTTTCACCACGTATTGTTGTTGCATTTATATTTGCACCATGTTGTAATAAATATACAACAATATCATGACTACCAACAAATGATGCGACATGTAAACTAGTTAAACCTGATTCAGTTTTAGCTTCAATATCAACACCATTGGCTATTAATAATTCGACAAGTTTTAAACGATTTTTTTTACATGCTATATGTAAACATGAAAAACCATTTAATGCTTTTGCATTTACATCAGCACGACGTTCACATAAAAGTTTGGCAACATTATAATTTCCACAATGAGATGCGACGTGTAATGGTGAAAGATAATCCTTTAGAAAAAATTATTATTAAAATTTCTTAGTAAAATAAAAATTAACTTACCGAACTAACATCATCGACAAGTGTCGATTTGTAATACAGTAGAATACGTGCTGCATCAACATGATCGCCTTGGGCAGCTTAAAAATATGATTAAATTTCCTTATTAAAAATAACAATAAGTGATTATTTTATTTACCCATATGAAGAGCCGAGAGACCATTTTTTGTTTTTGCACCAAATGGAGCACCATTTTCAAGTAATAAATCAACAACTTGATCATGACCGGATCGAGCAGCACAATGTAAAGGTGCTAAGATATTAGAAGAAAACAAAAAAACAAATTATTTCATGTTTCAAATCAACATACTAAGACCATCTTTTGTTTTAACATCAATATTTGCATTCTTTTCAAGTAATAATCGAACTAATTTATCTTTACCCCATTTCGATGCAACATGAAGTGGTGTAATATTTTGCTATAAACAAAAAACAAAAAAATTCATTGATTTCTTATGAATCATCTAGTTGATTAAATGCAATATTATAAATTAAGACTGGTTATGTCCTGCTGGCATTATTGTGATTAATATTGTATAGCCCTACGGCATATTCATACATTTTCTACAATAACTAATATTCATATTCTTTATGATGTAATGGAATCGAATTAATAAGGAGAAATAAAAGTGGAAAGAGAAATATTCTTCGATATACACTTGAAAAATCTCAAGTACAATTTTCATTTTCAAGTTTGAATACTTATTTCAATATAAATATACATAGATTCACTTACACTAGCTGCATAATTGACATCCGCACCACGACTAATCAATAATTGAGCTACTTCTAAATTTCCATAATGTGCTGCAATATGTAACGGAGTAAAGCCAGACTAAAAAAGAAATGTGATCATGTCATATTCAATCATAACTTTCTTTTTTGATATAAACATGCAAAAATAATCTATTCTGATATGTTAACTAACTAGAGAGAGAGAGAAAGAAAAAAAAAGGATTGGAATTGTCATTGGGTTTCTTTTTCTAATTATTTTCAAAATTAGTATTAAATTAGTTTACATAAATATTCTTATGCTTACTCTGCCGAGCTGAAAAGAAACAAAAAATAAATAAAAATAATGTGATACGAATGACAACATCGAAAAAAAATGTACTCCATCACCATCAAAATATACAATATTAAATAAAAACACCATCTAGACATCGAGAAAACAAACCTTTGTTGTACAATTAACAAAACCTCCTCCCTATTTATTATCAAAAGTTTTTTTGTGTAGAAAAAAGAAATCATATTTTTTGTTAATTAAATAATTACAAACCTTGTAATTAAGATCTGGTTGACTATCGCCTTGTAATAATAATGCGGCAGCCTTGGTATCATTCTTTTTCGCGGCAATATGTAATGCTGGTAAACGAACTTTAGAACCTTTTGAATCATTTTCTAAAAGTATAGCAACCACTTTATCATGTCCTTGTTGAAGACTAACAGCCAAAGGTGTAAATCCATCCTAAATACAATAATTATATGCATATTTCAAAAAAAACCTTCTAGAAGATAAATTACCTCAGTTGCTAGACTTTGATTAGCGCCATTAGCGAGCAGAAATTTAACTACATCGAGATGATTCTCTTCTGTAAATATATCAATTAAGAGAGTTTTTATATGTATAAATCTCTTAGGTTTTTTTATTTTGAAACATACGTGCAGCCATATATAAAGGAGAGAATCCATTTTGTGATTGACAATTAATATTAGCACTATGTTTAACTAAAAGTTTGACGACTTCTTCTTGACCAGCCAATGATGCAATATGAAGAGCTGTATTTCCTTTCTAAATCAATAGAAGAAAAATATGATTAATTGATAATCATTGATCGTTTGATGTGTTAGAGACCTTCGTTGCTGCATTGACATTGGCACCACGTGAAAGGAGCTCTTGCACAATATTTACATGACCCTCCCTTATTAAAAAAAATATATAAATTCATTTAAAAAACAACAACAAAAAAAAATTCTCTTATATACTTTGATGCTAAATGAAGTGCATTTAATCCATTCTAAAGACGAAGAAAAACAAGTTTTTAATTGATGTTTTTTTGAAACAAGAAATACATACAGCATTGCTAGTATTTATATCAATTGATGAACGAAGGTATTCCAAAACCTTCTCAAGATTTCCTGCTCGCGCTGCTCGTAAAAAGCCCGAATTTCCATCAGACTAGAAAAATAAAAAAATATAATTGTTGTAGTTAAATATGAACAAGATTGATATAACAACTGGCAGAACAATCGATTGTCTCCATGAATAAAGAACAATTTTTGTTGGATTATGTAATCTGACAATCAATGTAATCATCAACTATTTCTTACTATGCACGTCGACATGAACGTACATCTCGATAAGATACAATTGATCTTTATCCTCTAACACTTAGTTTCTATTCTAATTTGTAAAGTAGAGATCTCTTGAAAAAAAGAATTCCAGTAGCACAGTTGCTTCTTATCTTTTACGTATCTTTTCCTAGACCAATCCATCAATGATTTTTTCTTGTTGATCTTGTCTGTACATCTTTTCCGGCTATATAAATTTAGTAAACAAAACGAAAAATATATTGAATTATTCCATTTCCTTATTGATTCTTTACTGAAAAACAAAATATAACTGATTTATCGTTAATAGATATAAGATAGTGGTCTAATGATTATTTAAACTAAAGAATTGTATTCTTTACAAGGTTATATATTAATTATTGTGAATATTACTCACGAAGGTGCATCGAACTTTATTCGACAAATGTCGACCCATGATAGCAGTCTTCTCTTTGATAAAATACGGAATTGAAATGACGAAATTACTGGCTACTAATGGCCACGATATGTCGTCGTAATAAAATAGTAGTAAATGAGACGACACTCAATGAGAGTGAGAGAGAGAGAGACAGAGAAAAGGAAGACGAAGAACATGCAGACAGAAGAAGAAACTAGTGTATAATCAAGATAACACTCGATTTTCTCCTATGCCGATACTTCCAGTATCTCCTTTTTCCTTCTTCTTCTTCTTTTTTTCCTTTCGCCTTACATATATATATGTATATGTATGTATATATGTATGTATTTCTTGATTGCGTATGTTTGTATATATATGGTAGAGTACCATCAACCAACAGATGACGAGAAAGAACATTTTCCCAAAAATATAACTAACACAGCAGGAAAAAGAATATTCATAGTACCAAAGAAAAGGAAACAGAACAAACAATCAATAGTAACAGCATGATTACTAACTGAACCTATCGATCGTTCTTATCTTTATCTTATTCCTGTCTAGCTAAATGCGTTCATCATATATATCCCGATTGATCGATTGAATAGACTAGAAAGCAAATGCTAAAGAAATAAGTATTATCAAGAAGGGAAAAAAACGGATATATGACCGGCAGCTAAATAGACTTGCCAATAAAAACAAACATTGTCCTTCGTAAATAAATAAGATTAACAGATATTTTTAGTCTTTCACACTGATTAGAAAAATATATATATGTTCTATTAATAAATTAAACATGAAAACAAAAATTTCTATGAACAACATACCACAGTCATATTGTACGAAATGAAATAATTGACATTTGGGATGCTTCTTTTCACACGATTTCGTGTTCGTACGTAGTAGAAAGAAGATTAAAATATGTTAAATGAATGAAGGAATGAAAAAGAGAAATGTATGTATTATAATATAAGCAACTCTAGAAGAAAATGAGAAAGAAAAAGAAGAAAAAAAAAAAAGAAGACTGAAAAATTATGGCAGCACCACCATCACTCTCTCGTCAACTATTCAGACAGACACCCAGACAAAATATCCAACGTGTGGTGTGTGAACACGACGAGCATGGACGCCTCACTTTTTTTCCTGATGATAGAATTGTTATTGTACTCTTCGTTCGTTCTTTTCTCGTTAGAATGCACTTTTTTTCCTACTAGTAAAACATATATTCTCTTCTTCTTCTTTTTTTTTAACCATTAGTAAATTGAACTCAACCAGTTTGCAGTAACATCTGGCTCAAGACACAGAATGGAGAAAAAAGAGAATGTCTATGGTTAGAGAGAAAAAAAAAAGACTATCGAAGAATGTCACATCTGTGCTCGAAAAAAGAAAAATCGTATATAGAAAGTTAAACGTTAAATATTCAATTGTATGATAATAAGCAATAATGACAAAATAGACGGAAGAAAATCAATCATGTTTGTTTTTGACATTGTAAGGATAAAAGATTTCTACACATGTAAAAGAAGAAAATTATTTATTATTTTAAGTTTTTTTTTTTTATTTACAAAATCTAATAATAACAACTACACATAATAAAATTTTCTTTTTTTTTTCCTCGAGAGCGTTTTTCTCTCTCTCTATTTTTCAAGAGTCATTGAAAATCTCAACTGACTCGTCGTTCTGTGTTCCGTCGTACAAAATATATAGAAATGAAAGAAACCAAATGCAAATGTGACGCGTGCACTTACAACTATGCACGAACATTGTCATGGGAAATATGTTTCTATGTTGTATGCGAATAGAAAACAAATGATAGTGATGAGACTACTCCCGCTTTCTTTCTCATGTTACTCTTAGAAAATAGAATTAGTTGAATACTGAGAGAAACAACACTATTTTTAAAATTCATTCAATGGATAGCACTTGATAGTTTTTTTAATACACGTTAATGTATATATAGAGAGAAAGAGAGGAAGATAGACGATAGGGTTTCATTTATTCTTGTCAAGTTATTTTTATTTATACATTAACAAAAAGAAAAGAAAGAAGTCATCGAAATGTTCTATTATAGGTGTGAATATATCTCGAATGTATTATGTCATATACAAAAAAAAATGAAAACTATTCCCAGTAAAGTGTTACTGATACATATGTATAGATATTTCATCATTATCCGGGATTATAAGAGTTCAATCTATGCTTAATTTAATAGGGAGAGTGAAAACTTATACATGTATATATGCATTCTCATTTTTACTTGATGATAATAATGATGTAGTTCGTTGAATTGTGTCGATATGGATAGTTTAATAGATGATGGACGAACAATTGTTGTTTGAATATTTTCTTTTGAGGTTATATTGGACATAGTGTTTTACATTAAAAGATCTTGAGTTACATTCAGTCACAATATATAAAATAACTATTGTTTTTTTTTGTATTATCTTTCGAAGAGTATCAAGAGACGATCTACTATCAAAATCTACTTGATGAAAAACAAGTAATTCTTTTCTATCGTTCCATTCTTATAGGCATAGAAGACTAGTGACGCTTCTTAGCGCCTTATAAAATATTGTTAATAATCATCCGTCATCATCTGTTGACAGAGGATAAGCAAAGGCTAGTCGCGGACCGATTCTTTTTTCTCTTCTTCTTCTTCTTCTTCTTTTCTCGTTTTGTTTCTTTCTTTCTTTCTTTATTTTTTCTATCTATTTTTCCTGTTTTTTTTTTTATATGCTTTCAGACTTCCTTTTCGGATTAAGAAATTATTCGTATGAACTCATGGAACTTGGTTCCGGCTGAATCGAATAGTAACTAAAATTGCAATGGAAACGAGACTAACAATAAAAGAAGTCTAGAGAAGATTGTTACAATATAGTATGATGATGAAGAGAAAAAAGAACGAACTATAACAAGTAATAACCCGCATAATTTCATTAAAACTTCTCTTTCTTTATTCTATTCCATTAGCTAGGAAAAAGAAGTCTATTGATCGAACGATCATTTCTTCTCTATTGAATCAGACAGAGCAAAAAAAACCGAGAGGCAAAAAGTTAAACAAGAATATTCTAATGTATTCCTCAGGACAGGATCAATTATACCACTAATACTTTTTAAATGATAAAAAGCCGATGAATATGTAATAAATCGATGAATAAGGAATGTATATCCAGAAACGTGTATATACAAATGTATGTATACATATATATATATATATGCATTAAATTAGTTGTTGTCACTTACTGTTGATGAGCTTTGTTTTGAATGGGTCATCTATTCGGACAAGTTGAATAAACGTCAATGATAAGATTCAAATACAACAAAAATGATCGACTATGTTGAGTATGCACATTTCATTAATCGGACAATTTAGTTCTTTTTTGTATATTTGGTGAAGGTAAAAGCGAATAGAGAAAGAGAGAGAGAGAGAGCGCGAAAGAAATAGACTGGCATATGTATGTATA